TTTTCGCTGCTTTCATCTGCGCCGCCTCGAGTTCTTTCACTACCTTCTTATTTCCTTCCCATACTTCTCCGGCGTACTCTAGCGGCGGTACGATTACGCTCTTCAAAACCGTCAAATTGATGCGTGTATCGAGGTGGCGGTTTGCGGGTATTGGGTGCAGCTTCCCTGCTCGTGCTTTGCCCTTTTCCGCTACCTTGGACATGTGTGCATTCCACGAGCAGTCTTTTGCGATCTCTACTCCGAGGTATGTGTACTGGTCCACTACTGCAATCTCCTCGATCCCCCACTTCCATCTATGTTCTACTGGTTCCTCCTTGTTCTCGTTGCATACCATGACGGCACTCTTCTGAACGTTGGCAGACAATCTCCACTTATCAGTAAACTTCTTCGCCGCGTCAATTTGCAGTTGCAGTCCCTCAGGGGTGTCCGACATACCGACAAAATCATCCGCAAACAGCATTCCTGACACCGACGTTTCCGTGTCCCCTACCATTACTCCCTTCCGGACTGCCTCTACGACTTCCAAAATATCGTTGACAAACATCTGAAACAATGTTGGGGACAGCGTGCAACCTTGTGGGACCCCCTGCTCAATGTCGAAGAATTTTGACAGTTCTCCGTCTAGCATGACCGCGCTTTTCGTACACTCTGTCATCTTCTTCAGCACTCTCCACATTTTCCCCTTGATCCCGTATTTGGACAGTTGTTTCCACAACCCATTTCTCCACACGGTGTCGTATGCCTTTTTCACGTCCAGGAAGAAGCAGTACGTCGGCTTTCCCGCCCTCTTTCTACCTTGGATGATTCTCCCTACCGTGAACACGTGGTCTACGCACCCCCTCTTCTTGCGGAAACCTGCCTGGCCCTCACTAATGCTATGTTCCTTCTCCAGTACTCTCACTATCCTATCGTTCAGCAGCTTACATAACACTTTTCTTACTGTGTTCAACAGTGTGATCCCCCTGCAGTTTCCTGGGTCAGCCTTGTCTCCTGTCTTTACAAAATCACAACCACTCCTTCCCTTCATCCACTTGGCGAATACTCGTTTTTCCACAACCAATTGTACAGCTTTTCCATCAGCTGGATCATCTCCTTCCCCCCCGAACTTCATGAACTCGTTGACTATCCCATCCGCTCCTGCTGCTTTGTGGCACTGCAGCTTGTTCACACACGCCTCAACCTCGTCCTCAGTGAACTCCTTTTCTAGTTTTACGTTCCCAAACGGTGGGGGGGGGGGGGGGAGAACTACACCAAAAAAAAGAGTCAAATAGCAGCAGAATTGAGGAAGACGTCTTGCACGGCAAGCAGACATTGGGAAGCTGCAGCAGATGGACAGGACTTCGCTCTGTCTAGGCAGGTGGTCTGTAGGAAGCTACTATTAATACTGCTGCTCTGCCCAGCCATTGAGTAGAAAAACCGATTCAGTGTGGGAGGTTTTCGGAGGCACGCTGCTGAGGCCGAGGAGGAAGGCCCACACGCCGTTACAGAGCATCTCCGACCTCTCATTGCTATTGCTGTACACATGACCACACCACAATAAACAGCCCCAACATGATCAGGTCGAGAAAGAGATAGTCCTATCGGGTACAGAGGCGAAAGCCGATGATTGATGCCCGCCTTGATGAGATGAAGGTTAGACTCGTAGATTTTCTCTCCATGCCACAAAATGTACAATACTCCGTTCAGGAAGAGTTACTACTTCCGGCAATGGCGGGCGCGTGTTTGATCGATCGCTATCTAAATGTTTAGGTCTGCCCCTTAGTACGTACATTCGCCGAGGACACGGGGGTAATGTCCATGTTTCTCAAGGCCGCATAGATACCGGGCCCCAACCGTCAACACTTTTCACTGTATGTACATAGATGGGTTTGACGCACCAGCCAGGGTGACGCAGCAGAAGGTGTAAAACGCAACAGACGCTTTCTGAGAGAGATCTGAACCCACAACATGCTGATACGTACACTGTACTGTAGGTCGCGCAAGGTACCACACCCTAGTTCGACCATTTTTCAAGTTAGCTCGATTCGCGACGAAGAGGATGCCAATGCTGTAAATCAAATGAGAACAGCACTGCTGTTGTCGGGATTGTCGGGACGCTCCTGACGACACTGCTGTTCCAACGCGGCCATTTTCGGCACCATCGCGGTGTTTGCTGCAGGGTAGTTGAGCTTTCAAACTTGTCGAGGGGCTGCGGTATCTCACGCGACTCCGATGTACATGTAGGTTGACGAGGTTCACCCATTATGTCGGTCCTTGCCGATTTCTATGTTGTATGCATAGGTAGCGCGAGAACGTCCTCGCTATTAATAATCAATTTTCACGGGCAATTTATTTATTTATTTTCGCAGCAGGGCATCTACATCTACGCGCGTTTCTCGCGTGTGTTTGGGTGGTTACCTCTTCCCCAGCTGTGGGATCAACCTTTCTCAGACCTGCCCGCTGAGCAGTGCAGTACTGCTGTACGAAAGTGTCGTTGACATCATGGGTAACGGATTTACTTCGTATTATCTTGTTTTTGAAGCTGAGACCAGAGGCACACCGAAGTCGAGAGATCTCCGCACCACCGCCATCATCGCGGTATGCCACAACGCAACAGCGAAGCACCTGATACAAAACACGTCGCACTTGCCGCCAGAGCGTTACCTGGATATCAAGGAACTCCATGTGCTTCTGCAGAGACTTGAGCTTGACATAGACATCCTGAGCTGCGACGGCGTCTTCTGCTGCTGCCTGCTGCTGCCGCTCTTTGCCTGCAGCATCTCCTGTTGACGTGTCTACAGGCATTGCCATCACTTCCGCCGAAGCCATAGTCCCTCAGCGCCTCGCTAGGTCTACTTCTTGCCTTGACCCTCCTTGATCTATCCAACCCACCCGATTGCTTCCGAGGGCTGCCGCGGTGCTAAACTTGCTCACTCCGCCAGGCAGGGTGCAGGGTGATGCTCTCCTCGCCTTTTCCCTGCGATTCGTATTCGTCTGCTGCGACGATGAGACGCGGTTGATCCCGCACCGTCTTTTGCAAAACCCCAAGAAAAAAGCGCACCACCCGAAGACAATTGGAGGAGCGTCGGAGAGGGATTGCAGACGGGGAGCGCGCCGTGTGTGAGAGGAAAGGAGCCTTACGTGCAGGGAGAACGACGGCAGAAGAGCGCGCCTACCTGCTGTGGGGCACTCGTGCGAGCGCGCAGAACAGCAACCTCCAGCGCACGTCACCCCCCGCCTTATTCTAGGAACTACGTACCTGGCCAGTCTACGTGCCCCCCGAGTTGACCCTTTCTAATAACACCTTGTTTGCTGTGCGTCTCGTGAAGCAGCGTAATCGGGCACCACACCGCCGGTGATTCCCGGGGGCGGCTGCCTCGAAAATTTCGCAGGCAGACGGAGAGAGAGAAAGAGAGTTGGAACAACTCAGCGAGCACGACTGCACGGCGATAAAAAGTGCAGCAACTTAGCAGAGGCGCTGTGTGTGTGAGTTGGCGCTTCGAGGCAAAGGAGACTCAACAGCAGTACAGGTTTTTCGAGTCGCGCGACGCGGAGATAGAGAGAGGCAAAGCGCCATAGAGACAGCGCGGGCGAGGACAGCTGCATTCTCCATATGGACCCGGCCGAGGCTCCGCGGCTTGAGGAAGGCGGCCCCGCCCGGTCCGGGAACGAGCCGCCCCCGGAGGAAGCTGACCCACGAGGTTTCCACGAGCTGGCCTTCTTGGGCCACAGCAACGCTTCTGAGGCTGAACCGGAGCTGGAAGAGAGAGACGTCGGACCTGAATTTGATTCGTACGAAGACCTGGATGGAGACAAGCTCCGGCTGCTCGACAGGTAGGCCGTGGTTCTTGCGTGGGCGAGGAGAGCTTCAGTTGCGCGGGAGTCGCGACGGGCTAGTTAGAAGGCCACTATCGAGTCAGTTCGCACGCTCCCCCCGCTTGTCTTTGATTTTTTTCTCTGCTGTTTTTCGAAGAGACGACACACAGCAGCACGATGATTGTCGCGGGAGCAGGTAGCCGCAGACGTTGGCCGTTTGGGGAGCAGCTTTCAAATGTTGACTTCAAGAGCGAGCTAGTTTTGTCGTATAGTTGCTGCTGTTGTTGTGCATTTCAAGGTACCGACTACGTGGTTACTGCTTCGAAGTGCTTGCACACACCAGTCGGTTGTGGGTGCAACGGTTGTCGCTGCCGCAAAGCATGGTGGTGGCACGCGCGGCTGATGGCGGCACAGCGAGAGAGATTTACTGAAAAAGTTGTGTATTCACCGAACCTCAGACAACACCGTCCCCGGGGCCGGGGTGGGGCGTGTGCTTGCAGGGAGGCAAAGCGATTGACTGGGCTCGTGGGTGTGGTGGTGTTGAAGCGGTTGGCACGATGCCACGTGTTGGTGTTGTCGTTGCCGCAGCGGTATGCTCGAAACTTCAACGCGCTTTCGCTGTGGGGGGGAGCATGTCGGAGCGCCCGCCAATTATATTCAAATACGTTTCGCTGTCGGAACATCTTTTCGAAACTTCGACGCCGGCTCGCAGGATAGACAAGAGAGTGCAGGCAGTATTAGCTAATCCCCGAGTATACACTGAAGAAGGTGAAATTCAGATGACATGTTTGCTAGTGTAACACCCATTTCAAATGCTGCCATACCATCACCACACTCAGCGTACTGCTATTTTAGCCCTCGGGTATTTGTCCTTCTTGGGATTGAGTGTCGGCCTTTGATCTGGAGATTGGGCGTTGAGGGCGATGAGAAGCAGCGTGGCACATCTACAGCATTGGGTCGGTCCTATTCCCGCCGCCATTGTGAATACCGCGTGCTCTTCAATTAGTACTTAACAAGTACCACAGAATCGCCTGAAGCTGGCCTACTGTCTCGCAATAGCTGGATGTCATTGTAGGCCAAGGAATTTACCCCGAAGACAGCAGGAGCATTCAATCAACGACTTGACGGACTCGAAGCGGTTGGTTCATGTTTGTGGTCGTGTGAGATGCTCCTCCTATCGCTCCGATCGGTTCCAGCACGCCCGTGCCTCCTTGTGGTGCCAACCGCAGCCGCGTTGATGCAGACGACAGGTACGCCGGCCGCTCGATGCGAAGCTTCAACTACAAAAATATGATACGTTCGTCTCTGCTTGTCCCATCACACTACAAGCTTGCTGTTTCGCTTCAACAAACCTACTGTACAGCGGTAGCACTTTTTTGTGTTCCTTTGCTGTGTTGCCCCCCTTAAGTTGTCGTTGGGAACGCTAGGCTCTGAGCATGCGTGAACTTGACTAGTTCCGTTTTCCCGACATGCTCCCGAAGCCAAGCACAGGTACACAACAGCAGTAGTCCTTTTGTGAAAGCCATCCTGTTGTCCACTTTTATATATCGTACGATTGCGGTACCTGCATCAAAAGCGCCGCTCAAGCTACAGCACGTTCTGTCGGCGGCCTTCGAACCATCACAGAGACTCAATGAGGGATCTTTCGTGTGCTGCGACGCGTGCCCCCCCCTTCAGCTTTTCAATCTACTATGAGGACGGTCGGCTAGCCCCTCCGAGAGCCCTCGACTCCGCCAAAGAGCGGGGCCAAACCTTTGTGGCGTTCGGTACCCTGGTGGCGCCCCTAACAACCGACGCGAGCTTGAAGCTCATCTCCCTCGACGCACGGCTAAAGGGCAGGGTACCCCCCTGCCTCCCCAAGAGGCTGGTCGGCGGGGCCCCCGAACCGCTCCCGTGGGTGGCCGCGGCAGGGGGCGCGTCCGCCACGCCTTCCACGCCGAAGGGGGGAGGGGGGACATCCGGCCGTGGAGGGAAGGGAGGAGCAAGTAGCGGGAGTGGGAAGAAGCAGCAACCCAAGGCGCGTCAAAAGGCAACGCCCCCGCCCCCCCCCCCCCCCCCCCCCCCCCCCCCCCCCCCCCCCCCCCCCCCCCCCCCCCCCCCCCCCCCCC